AATTTTTTCAAGACAGTGTCATAGCAAACACATGCTCAGTCTTGAAGGAGAAAGTTGAACATTAGGATACTTGACGACCATGTTCAAACCAGGACATACTAGAACAACCCATCCTCATAACAAGGTTTTAATCCATTAGAATTTTTGCTGGGCGTTAGGTAAAATGTGATTAACAATTACATAACCAGTAGCATGTTAAGTGTAATACACTGCTGTAGACAAGTATTTCCGAGTCCACATATATCCAATAAAAATACAACAAAATTGAAACTTAACAGCTGTAAAAGTGAATAGGGCACCCTAGGCATTTAGGTACAATACAATCCCTCTTTTATACATTTCACAGATCCGATAAAAAAAATATGTAATTCACAGGAAACTGAAAGTGATGAGAAATTACTTTTGCTTATATAATTAAACACGGGACATTAATTCTCAATGTTTATTAATGTTAATCTTTAATTGAAAATTATTGTACTTCTTGGACCTTTCAGTTCATAATACTTCTTCTACTGCTTCCTAAGTTTTTTTTCTTTTCTAAAATACAAAGACTTTTTATTTTATATTGAAACGAACACTAGAACTTTTTTAAACCATACACAAAAAAGAAAAAAATACATGTTGCTTTATCTAGAAAGTCTGTTAAAAGAGCTGCCCACAGACTAAAAAATAGACTTGTTTCAATAACTTCACATTATTTGAATAAACAAAATGAACAAATATAATTATGTAATAAAACAACACAAAACGTGTAAAGAATTAGCCATACAAATATAGTCCTGCCTCTTGGCAAAAATGATTATACAAAGGCAGAATTTAAGAAAAAAATAGTAATAATAATATTCAAAGTGTGTAATAATAGTATTCAAAGGGCTTCCCAGGGGACAAGTAGCTTGTGCTGGGACATTTTGACATGCCTGTCTTTGGCTCTAAATGGCCAAGAAAAACAATATGAAATGTTAGATCATATGCTGAACACTGCGGAAAAGGGAAACCATTTATGTTTTGAGTTATATTCTTCCCAAATCTTAGTGATGTCTAAAACATTGTGTATCCTGAGAATTTTATGTTCTAAACAATGGAATATTCCAAATATTTTTCTTATTAATGAATTATTGAGTGGAAATTTTTGTATCATTTAATATATTTCAAATTCTTTTGCTTTAGGAAACTGAAGATTTCCTGTCAAATTTGGTTGTCAATAAAACTGTATTGGCAAAGACTGACAGGCCTGCTGGTGTTGTAAGTTTTGCTCAAAATAAGGATCCAAATGATGTTCTTAATGATTGGTCACAGCACCTGAGTACACTAATGCAGCTTGTCAACAAAACTACTCATTTGATTAATAAAGAGGAAATGGTTCACAAACACCTTCTTGCAGTAAAGGAATGAGGTCTAAAGGCTTTCTTGTTGTTAATTTAAAATAATAAACTAATATTTGTAAATGATATTTGAAATGAATTTAGTGTGAATGGTATTGTATTGAATAACAGATAATTCATTTTTGTCTTACTTTTCCATCATTATATTCATTCAAATAAAGCTAATGCTTAATTTTTTTGTTTGTTTGTTTTTTTCTACCTTTTTTCTTAAGTTACTTTGTGGTGACCATTTTCCAAGGGTGTAAATATGCTTGAAAGAGGTATATGAGTAATTCAGTATGTAGAAAAATTATGTGGATGAGAAAAAATTAAATAAATTCAATATAAAATTACCCCACATTTCATTCTGAATTACACAAATTTATATTTGAAAAATCAAAACATGGCGATAAGCTACAATCATTTTCTTGCTGTGTGTGCATAATAATTCGTGATTTGTTATATATTTTTTTAATACTTTTGATCCTAAGGACGCATCTGATATGTCGTCATCATTTTACTGCTATGTCCTATGGACATATGTCATATGTTCTACATTTACCAGTTTTGACAAGCTATAAACATCTCTCGAATGTTCTTAGACACCTAGAAAATCCTTTTTAATATCATTAAGGTGGTTGTAAGTATTTGCAATTTTTCTAGGAAGAGATTAGATATTCATTCTTGCAAGCATTGTCAAAAACGTTCTAAATCTCTCTCTTTGTAAGTAGTGTTCGTGTTGTAGGCAAAATTTACAGATGTTTGAAAGACATATTCACATGTCAAATTCACCGTGACTCTTAACATTAGAAGTTAAGAGTTTTTGAATAATGAATCAGAACTGATTTTTCTGATGGGGATGACAATTTTATTCCTGGACCGTTGACTTGTTTGAGCAATGAAAATTATATCGAGGAGAGTAATGATGCAAATGATTCTATTGGTGTCTTCATGAGTTTTCATTTCCTTTAGAATGTTGTGGAATTGATAAACAATCTGAATTACCAGTGTTTGAGAAAATCAGTGAAATAGAATTTCATGTAAATGAAGACTCAAGTGAACTAGATTATTTTTCTTAATCTTTTCACCACAGTATATTTAAAAAAAAGGCAGAAGTGAACAGATTGCAAATGGAACTATTTCTCAACTTCAAAATACAGATATAATGCCCCAGTATTGGTGTTATATTTTGCAACAATGTTACTTTTCACAAAATATAAAATTGACATGTTTCTTTGAATTCCATTCTCACTACTACCTTATAATCAGATGATCATGAAATACATACAGACTTAGTGAGAAAGGTCTATACTACAAGATTTTATCAATTTCACACATGTGTATTGTTTAACGTTTTAAATAATAGCTATATTGCCCAGGGCCAGGAGTTAACCACATCTGTCAGGATAAAATGTGTTAATAGTTCCATGTGATTTTGTGTTGTATCATTAGTATTACAGAATTGTCAGTATTTCTTCTTGATCATGGATTATAAAAGTATTTAGGAAATTATATACTTTGAAATCTTTCAATTATGTATGGTTTTAGGATTCTTGGTAGTCCAGAGGGATTCCTTGGAGAGATTTTGACATTTGATGATGATTGAACATTTTGATTTAAAAACGACAGTTCCTCAAAAGACTCTATTCCCCCCCCCAAATTGTACAGGGTACGCTTATAAAAATGTCGCAGCTCCGATTTTCGTTGAGCTCTCAGCTTTCAAAAATTGGAAGGGGTACTAATAATGCTATTTATGTATTATTCGTATCTTTTACGTACATAAAATGTCATCCAATATATTAACAACACGTAGTCTCTTTTGTGTTCTATTAGATTTGCATCGCCGCGTGTCGAGGCCATTTCACTGGTGTTGGGCGCGGCGTGATTGCGATGGTTGTGCGGGTTCCGCTGGCCACAGGGGCCGCAAGTGCAAGCGGTGCACCGCACCAGGGGGGCAAATATTTGGCATTCCCGTATACATACGTACATATGGAATAATCAATATACAAAGTACAGGAAAAGTTATGTAAAGCTGTGGAAAATCGATTTAGAGATTTTAACGGAAATATACGTTTAGGAGTCCCCTGATACC